TTCGAGTTCCCGGCCCGGGCGCGGGAGGGCGGGGCCTGGAGGGGGCGTTCTCAGCCTCGGCCCTCCCAGAGGAGCCGGTTCGCCCGCCCCTCCTGGGACCTTCCGTCTTACCCAGTCCTGGCCGGTTTTCTGAGTCCTCCTGAAGTCACACCACCCGGCTAGAGGGCCAGGAGCCTCCTACTCCCCATCTCCCCGTCCACCACGCGCAGTTACTCACCTTTGTCTCCAGCCTGGATTAAGGATCCAGCCTTTCGCTTCCATCCCTCTTGTCCCTCCTGATCCTCCTGACCCTGTCTTTAAGATCCCAGGAGCTGCGGTGAGGAGTGAGGCTGAGGGGCCCCTTTCATCTGACGCAGCGACTCCGCTTTCCTCCGGCGGCTCTGTCTATGGCTGAGCTCTTTGATCCTTTGAGGGATGGTTTGACTTTCCCCGAGCAAAGAGCCTGTGTTGAATAGCGGGGATGGAATTCAGTCCTCACAGACAATGAGAGGACAAGACCTAATTGAACCGAGTATTGCCGGGAAGGAAAAGGCAACGGGCCAAGCCTTTGACAGGGTGCGAAACTGACTTTTACCATCGTTATAGTCTTTAAATCCTGGAAAACGAGTTGACAACCCCCAAATAAAGAAGTGTAATGACGTCGGATGACTTCACCCAAATACAGACCATTCCAAGAAAGACTTGCGCAGTTATCATGCATGGTTGCGTTTTTGCATAAAACGAAGATTCCCTTTGTCCGCATGTTTAATAGCTTAAAAATAAAATGAGGTTTTTATCGGATACAAGTAGCCAGGAAAAAGTGATACAGTGAAAACGATTACAGGATCTTTGTAGACTTGTCTTTCAAGTTATTAGAAGTCTTATTCTATCTGGTGGCAGGTGGTAGTGGAACTTGTGAATTGAGATTCATCTCGGAACGGGAGGCACGGCTGAGACTTCTAATAAAGACAACTTCAGTGTACACTGTGTCTTGAAGTCAGTACCTATTTTTGACAATCACGTCCATCTACACGTAGATACAATACAGGGCAAAGATCATGGAAGTGGAAGGTATCCCCAAGCACTCACCAATGTAGTAAATACTAATACACTTAGAATTATTTTCAGCAACGAGGTTTGAAACAAGAGGGCTTATTTATTTATTGGTTGATCTTCCCTGTGTTTTACTGGGGAAAATTATTTGTATACGCATTTAAACAAATTATTATTATTTTGAGACAGAGCCTCGCTCTCTGGCTCAGGCTGGAGTGCAGTGGCGCGATCTCAACTCACTGCAAGCTCTGCCTCCCGGGTTCACACCATGCTCCTGCTTCAGCTTCTCGAGTAGCTAGGACTACAGGCGCCCGCCACCACGCCCCACCAATGTTTTGTATTTTTGGTAGAGATGGGATTTCACCGTGTTAGCCAGGATGGTCTTGATTTCCTGACTTCATGATCCTCCCGCCTTGGCCTCCCAAAGTGCTGGGATTACAGATTTGAGCCACCGTGCCCGGCCTAAACAAATTATTTTTTAATATTTGATTTTGGGAGGTCTTTTTATATTACTTGAAGGAGTACAATTCAAAGAAGGAAAAAGATCATTTTTGTCCTCAATTTGGTGTTTCTTCCTTCATTTAAAATTTATATAACCTACTTTACTTATAGTACAAATTCTTATTTGTTTAGCTTCCTGGAATTCATGTATCTATAAATGACCACTGTTCTATGCTGCTTTATGGAGAAAAGAAAGTAGGGTTCTGATTATAATGTGGGCTTTGTTTATGGTAGTATTTTTTTCAAGATGCAAAATTTGATCTTGCAATCTTTGAGTTGAATTTGCAGTTTTAAAATAAAAAGGTCTTGGCCGGGCACGGTGGCTCACGCCTGTAGTCCCAGCACTTTGGGAGGCTGAGGCGGGTGGATCACGAGGTCAGGAGATTGAGACCATCCTGGCTAACACGATGAAACCCAGTATCTACTAAAAATATAAAAAATTAGCTGGGCGTGGTGGCGGGCGCCTGTAGTCCCAGCTACTCGGGAGGCTGAGGCAGGAGAATGGCGTGAACTCGGGAGGTGCAGCTTTAAGTGAGCCAAGATTGCGCAACTGCATTCCAGCCTGGGGCGACAGAGTGAGACTCTGTCTCAAAAAAAAAAAAAAAAATAATAATAATAATAATAAAAAGGTCTTATATCTGTGCAAATAAAAAATATTATTGTATCGACATTGCTTGTTAAATTAAGGAGTGAGGCCTGCACACGTATTAGTAATATGATTCCTCACAGTAGTCTACAGAGGAAAAAAATGACAATGAAGTCATGTTACCAATAGGACAATCATCATTTGCCTGAGATAGAAATAGGCACATTCTCTATGTAACTACATGCTTAAGCTGGACCAATTCAGAATTAATTGGGGTTTAGAACTATGAAATTATCACTGAAAACAGAGCCAAGATTTCATTTTGAAATGGCCTCCCCTGAAAGACAATTTAACAGCTAGCATTTAAGGTTGGATGTGGTGGCTCACGCCTATAATCCCAGCACTTTGGGAGGCTGAGACAGGCCGATTGCTTGAGCCCAGGATTTCGAGACCAGCCTGGGCAACATAGTGAAAACCCGTCTCCACAAAAAATACAAAAATTAGCTGGGCGTAGTGGCGTGTGCCTTTAGTCTCAGCTTCTCTGAAAGGAGGATGAGGTGGGAGGATTGCCCGAGCCCGGGGAGGTTGTAGCATGTAAAGGACCTGAGAAACTGTTTTTCATAGGTCACAACAACATGACAAATAATAACACGTAGACTCAAACGGGCCCCCTCGCTTGATTCAAAGCCCTGTTTATACCATTAGCAGTCAGGCACTGCCAATTGGGCATGCAGCTCCTTGTATCTCTCCCTCAAAGTGCTATGAAAGACCTAGGGCTTATATAGTTGTTCAGGCAAAGTGAGTGTATCTGTGCCACTCCTGTTACCACACACCCTTGCAGACAGCCGCGGCTGCATCTTTATATTTCAGTTGCCTCAGATACTACAATCTGACCTGAATTGACCTCAGTAAAAAACATTGGCGAAGTAGGCATGGAACTCACCTGCCTGCAACCCTTGACAATGGTCTTATCCATCTCCCTTTATCATCTCCTCTAGACTCGCCAATTAGCAACAATTGTCACAAAGACAAATGTAAAAAGAGAGCTTTGAAAAATTAAACTTGAACTTTTTTTCTTATTCAAACTTCCAAGGCCCTTTGGGAACCTTCCAGAGTTTTAATTTCCTAGGAAAAGGCCTCATCCACAGAAAGACATGGTCTTCATAGATTCAATGATTTATCAGTGCTATATTCCATAATGACTCAGTCAGCTAAGCCTGTACAACCACACAAAGAGACGCACAGGAAACTATGGAGTCCTCGTCTAAAGGTACAAAAGTGATAGAGCAACTGTCATCCACACACAGTAAAAATGAGTGCACATGTATAGACTGTCCACAGACATTCCACTGCAAAATGTAATTATACCCTTTCTATGCTGTCTTTGTAGTCTGCACTCTCCTAACCAGCAATGCTGAGTCGATCATCTATCTGATGTGAAACTGTCTTCAAATCTCACACAGGACGTCTATCGGAATCTATGTTTGCTGCATGGCAAGTCTCGATTTTCCCATCTCTATTAGTTGTGTTTTTGTTTTCCGTTAAATTCAAGTATACATTTTTCTAATTCCAACTAAATTCAATGGGAAATAAAGATAAGCAGAAATAAAAGGTTTAAATTCACCTTTAAAAGTAAGGTAAATGTGCACATTATGATGCTACATGTGGGGATTCAGATGTCATCATTACTTACAAATTTTGCTAATGGCCACTTATTCAAGATTCGCTATCCCAAATCAGTGACTGAGAGAATAAGACCGTTTGAAGTATATAGACATGTCAAGAGCTTTGAAATCAGTGTTTTCCTAAATGAGGTCTGCTTATCACTGATGTACATGAAATACCTATCAGTGGTACTAAGATACATGCTTTTGTCTTTAATAATTATGTATTTATCTTAAATGAGTTTTGTTTTGTTTGCTTTTTGAGATGGAGTCTCACTCTATCACCCAGGCTGGAGTGCTGTGGCATGATCTCGGCTCACTGCAACCTCTACTTTCCAGGTTCAAGCAATTCTTGTGCCTCAGCCTCTTGAGTAGCTGGGACTACAGGCACGCACCACTATGCTTGGCTAACTTTTATACTTTTAGTAGAGAAGGGGTTTCACCATGTTGACCAGGCTGGTCTTGAACTCTTGACCTCAAGTGATCCGCTCACCTTGGCCTCCCAAAACGCTGGGATTACAGGCATGAGCCACTGCCTCTAGCCTCTAATGAGAATTTAAAAATGTAACTAGCACATAAAACCTGATTTTTTGTGGGAGGGGTATTATTACTTAGGATGAAGCTGAAGGATGTGGGCACTCAGACTGGTGAACTTTACTATTTCTTTTCCTTACCCTTCCCTAGCCTCTGTGCTGTTTTCACATCCTCCATATAAGACTGGTTTTCTTGAGGAAGCTGAACATGAAAGGCTATATACTGTCTGATTCCATTTTTCTAAAGTTCTGGAAAGGGCAAGGGTATAATGAAAGAGAACAGATCAGTGGTTGTCTGAGACTGGGATTATGAGAAGCAGAACGACTGCAAAGAGGTCTGAGGAAATTTTTGGGGTGATGAGGATGATATATGTGGTTATACAACTGTACGCATTTGTCAAAATTCATTGAATTCTGAGCTTAAAATTGGTGACTAGCATACACATTAGATCTTAATAAAACTGAACTAAAAAAAGACTGATTTTCTTGTAATCATTTTAAATATTTCCCCCTCTTCTCCCATTTTGTTTCCTCTGTTTCCATTCTCATCTTCTGTTGTTACCATGTTGCTTTACATGATAGGGGATGAGCGCCATTTTTGCCCTCCTCCAAGGAAGGATAGTTCTTGAAGTTGCTGAATGTTTTCAGATGCCAAAAGGAGTCTGAAAAATCCTGCTATTGAGTAGGAAGCAGAAAAGGGAACAATCTCAATATGACTCAATTCAAGACGAAAGTATGAGCACCTAGTATACAGACAGTACCATACAAAGAAGCACTGGAGGACTTTAAAAAGAAACGTTATATTTTCATCAGCTCTTTTTTCCAAGCAAGTGTGAAATGACTGGGGTCTGGAGTAGGGAGGGGGAGACACAAGAGTATAGGTAGTTAATTCATTATTCCCAGGAAACTCAGCATTTGAGTCAATCAATATAAAGCTGCACATGGACATAACCCATGACTACAGGCACAGTGTCTTAGGAACAATTAAGACCTCAATAATCATAAACCAGTCCCCACCCAGTTTCCACACCCTAGACTCTTCTAGATCAAGAACTGCCCCACCTATGAAACCTTAAACTGCAGCAGTGCATTTCTTGATCAGTTCATCCTGCCTTTCTAGGTCATTCACTCCCCTCCCAATACACCTCAACTTAGCTCCCAAGACCTTTGTCTCTTGCTCAGCATTTGCCCACATGACTTTCCTTCCTTTCTTATTGCCTAGCCAGACCCTATTCCTTCATATTGTCAACATCATCTCTGGCTCCTGTGTCTCCTAGCCCTCCGGCCCCCCAGATCCTTACCTTTTTTGCTCTTAGAGTAGCCGGGAGACTAAGCACTGATAGAGAACATAGCCATGAGGTTGCCAACCATAGTGACACATGTA